GGGCTCAATCTCTAGCACTGAAACAAAAACAACAAATGGCAAAATTAGAATGTTGGCAGGACTGTCTGCCTTTCTGGAGGCTGTAGGAGAGAATCTGTTGTTTTGCCTTTATCAGATTCCCCTGGCTGCCCAAACTCCTTGGTTTATTATTGCTCCCTTCCATCTTCAAGGCCAATAATAATCTTTTTCAAGATTCGTTACCCTCTTTCTTCCTCTTCTACTTTTAAAGCCCCTTGTGATTATGTTGATCCCACCCACATAATTTCTTCATGGTAAGGTCAGCTAATGAGCAACCCGTCTTCAACCCTAATTGTCATTGGTCCTGTAACCTAATGTTTACAGGTTGTAGGGATTAGGAAGCTCAGAAATAACATCAGTGTAGAAAAGGTAGGACAGGTGTCAGCTGCTAAAGAGCCAAGTAGTATGACAGGCACTATGTGAGTCTCTGTACCTCAGACATTCCAAGAACTGAAAACACTGGAGAAAATGAAATATATTTCCTTTTTTTCTAATGAGAGGTGGTGGTTTTGGTGTTCTTGAAGCCGTATCAATTTTGTCCTAGCTGCTGAGAGACCCATGAAGTTCCTTTAGAACTTCCAGTTTCTTATTCAATTGCCAGGTTAAGATTAGGAATAAGTTATCTTTTTCTTTCTATTATTATTATTATTTTTAAAGACAGGGTCTTTTATGTTGCTAAGGCTGGTCTTGAACTCCCAGTCTCAACTGTTACCTTTATGGTGGCCTTCCAAGTAGCTGGGACTGCAGATGCATACCACCAAGCCTGGCTTAGCTCAATTTCTGAAATAGGTTGTGTAAGGTGTTAGTTTAGGCATTTATCCTCTAAAATGTGCCTTTGCGCAGTGATAAGAGAATATGTAAATCTTAAATCTTGTATCCATGGTTCCCATATACTCAAGTCTCTTAATCTTTAGGACTTGTTGCATTTTAGACCTATTGTTTTTGTATAATAAGCAGAATTACTGCTATAAATTTAAAAATTTCATGTCTATATCATTTTTTTTTTAACTTTGTGTGTGTGTGTGGTTTGGATAATTAAACCCAGGGCCTTATGCATGCCAGGCAGACAAATGAGCTATCTCGCCATCCCCTTGTGCCATTTATTTTTATTTGAAGGCTATACTTTCGATTCTGAAGCTCTGGACTATATTTTATCTAATAGAGAACATCAGAGTCACACTCACCCTTCCCCCAGATCATTTCATTTGCATTCCAAGCCCATGCTATGTAAATATCCTGTTTGAAAGTAATTAAATTCCCAGCAGATTTGAAATCTCCTGGAGCTGACAATCTCTCCTGGAAAGAGGAGGAGAGTGGAGCAGTTAAGAAGAGATGGTGTTTGGGAGTCCTGTTACTGATCAAATTGAACAAGAAGAATTGGTGAACTTGATGACATTATGAATTTAGTTTGGGGTCATGAAGTGGAATGAATCTTTTGAAACCATACTTTTGAGACACATGTTTTAAAACTCTTAATAAGAATAGAATGGTAGTGCCCAGAGTCTGGGAGCAGGGAAGGGGAAGGAATGGGAAGATATTGTTCAACAGCAAGGTTTGGGGGCTTGCATGCCTGTGGTCAGGCCATGGTTTGGCTGATCATTGTCTCAGGACTTTTCTTTGAAGTTCTGGGAAAGAGGTCATCACTTGAGGGGGTGATCTGTGATTTGGTTTCCATAATGAGATGTCTGCTTCCATTTGAGGTGGTAGCCTTGATTAGTTTTTGGTTAATTGATGTCCCTTAGGGTATATTCTCTTCATAGGGTTATTTGAGCTTCATTGTCTCCAGTTGCTTGAGAGTAGTTTCTTGTCACTTTTCATAGACACTTATCAATATGACCTATATATGCATGGGTATTTTTAAAACAAAAAAGGGGGCTGGGGATACAGCTTAGTGGTAGAATACTTGCCTGGTATGCATTAAGTCTCTGGGTTTAATCCCCACCACTGCAAAGAAAACAACAATTATAACAAAACCCCCAAATGGGATCTACAATGTGCTGTTTTCCATAATAATACTGTGGAGAGTAGACTTGAGTCCTGCTCTGAGTTACTCTATGATGAATAGATCAATAGTTTTCAGGCTGTGTCTTACTCTGAGTTAACTCCATTTAAAAATAAAATATTTTTAGTTATAGGTGGACACAATATCTTTATTTTATTTTTATGTGGTGCTGAAGATCGAACCCAGTGCCTCACACATGCTAGGCCAGCACTCTACCTCTAAGCCACAACCCCAGCCCGAGTTAACTCCACTTTTATAAAGCTGGAGTTTGCTATGTGTTATTTCATTTTAAATATAAGTGCTGAGGTAGAATGATTCTACATTTTGTTTGTGTAAGTAAATAATCACCAGCTTCCTAGCACAACCTGATAAATAAATAATCTTCCTAATAAATAATGAACACCTGAGAACTTATTGAATTAAATCGTTAGCATACTGATTCATAGATATATTGAGCCCACATCAGAAAAACCAGGCACGTGAGTTTATCAAACACACCAGACCACCTAATGGAGAAACCCCTTCACTTGGGACCCACAAAAGGAGGAGCACCAACCCATCAACAGACCATGTGGTAAAAGCATCATGAGGTGGACAGGAGACAAATTTCCAACTCTCTGTCCCTAGGTTTAGCTTGATCTCCCTGCTTGATGTGGTTAACTTCAAAAGTGCTTTCCCTCTTGACCCTAGCCTAGAATAAGTTCCTTGCTGTGACAGCTCTGTGCCTTGAATGCCCTGAACAAGTTCTTTGACTGGTTTGTAATCTTCTCCAACCACCTGTAGTGACCTTTATTCTTAAGGATGTATGTACAAGAATCTGCATTACAATATTGTTTATCATAACACAAAATTGAAAATAACCTAAATTTCTTTTTGGAGATATGGGGAATGAATGTTGATATGTCAAAATGTTTATATGTCATATCCTCCTCTACCCATCTTTACCCTTTCTTGATCTTTCTGTAACCTTTACATATCATGATGTAAAATGTGACATGTGACTTGAGTATTACAGATAGTAGTAATTCAGATTGGAATAAAAGAATAAAGCTGTTATTGCCCAGCTTATAACTACTAGGTGACACACAACTACTCAGTGAATTGCATCCAATGAAAGTGATATTGTTTGTCAATTTGTGTTATTCAATAAATTCTGGCAAGTGAAAAGACATAAATGTGTGATCCATGTTAATGACATAGCTAGCTCACAACAAATATATTATGGATATCGTTACTTTCAATATATATAAATCTTCATCCTTTTAAATAGTTTCTAGGATGTTTTACTTCTGACATATCAAAAAAAAAACATTCATTCCCCACATCTCCAATAGGAAATTTAGGTTATTTTCAATTTTGTGTTACGATAAACAATGTTGTAATGCAAATTCTTGTACATACATCCTTAAGCATTGGTCTGATCATTTTCTTAAGAGAATTCCTAAAGTGGAATTGCTAGACTAAAGGATATACATTTTTATTTTCATCATTTACCTAGTGCTGCATATATTGCCAGATTGCTCTCCAAAAACCAATTAATTAATTGGCATTCTTATCATCACAGTATAGGGTTTAGAGTAGGGAATACCTAGTTCATCCTGAAGTTCAGGAGAGGTTTCTTGGAATAGCTAAACTCCAGACTGAGTCTTCATGAGACTTTCAAGCCACTAAAAGAACAGTTAGGGCTGGGAATGCAGCTCAGTGGGAGAGCACTAGAAGTTTCTGGTTTGTTTGCTTTACAGTACTGGGAATTGAATCCAGTATGCTCTGCCACTGCATTATATCACAGTCGTTCTTAATTTTTCCTAAAGTTTTAATTTTGAAACAGGGTCTCACTATATTGCCTAGACTGGCCTCAAACTTAGATCCTCCTGTCTCAGCCTCCATAGTAGTTGGGATAACAGATATGGGCCACCAAGCCCAGTTTAGGAGTCCCTAGTTTCTATTCCTAGTACCATAAAATGGGGAGGGGGAAGGGAACAAATAATCCACAGGGAGCCAAGTTCAGAGAATTCTCAGGGTTGTACTCCTCCTTAGTGCTTGTTTATATATTCTCCCTGTAACACTAGGTGTCCTTTGCATATTTTATCTTGCTAAATAGAATTGCTCTGTCTTTTCCTCTTATCTGTTTATCCTTCAAAATGACATCATTGTCCATTTCCTGCTCTAGGAACCAGAACTATGGCTGCTGAGAGCGTTCCCTCAGAGATCATAGAAAGACAGCGAAAAAAATTGCTTAATATCCTCCAACAAGATCCAGATTCTATCCTGGATACGTTAACCTCTCGACAGTTGATTTCTGAAGAAGAGTATGAGACTTTAGATAAAGTTACAGATCCCTTGAAGAAAAGTCGAAAGCTGTTAATTTTGGTACAGAAAAAGGGAGAGGTGAGCTGTCAGTATTTTCTCAAGTGTTTACTTAGTACTTTTCCAGAGTCAGCTACTACTTGGGACTTACAGCTTGGTGAGTTGAATTTTTATACTTTGATGGGGGTTGGGAGTAAGGGTAAATGTAATGGGGCAGATTTTCTGAAAAAACAAAAAACTAGCACCCTTTATTTTTGTTTGTCTTTCTCCCTGAGGTAATCTTCTCTGAATTATGAGATAGGGAAAAAGTGTGCAGAATTTAAAAAGCAGAGAATAATGTATCTGATTGATTTAGAGGATGGGTAATTTGTTGATCTTTGAATTTTGTTCAAGTTCAAACTTTTTTGTTCAAAAATTTCAGTTGTTTTATAAAGTGCTCATTGTTCTGGTATTACATCCTGAAGTTCCTCCTTTGGAAAGAGAATACTGTTAATCATAGCACAATCTGGGGTTTCTTTCTCAAATAAATGAATTCATAGGTGTTAACAGTTCTAAGACCTCAAACAACATCTTTCACTTAGGATAGCCATTCTGAAAATATAGGAAGAATAATTTTTAGCATACCTAGATGGCAGATCCATAATTAATTTACTCTGTGATAAGAATAAAGCAGAACCCTAGTTTTCTGGAGCAACTTAAATGCTAGTTCTTTTAAAAATAATTATTTATCTAATAAACATATCATTTTAACTGACATATACTAGCTGTATGTATTTATATGATTCAATGTGATATTTTAATTTATATATTCAATGTATAATGATCAAATCAGGATTATTGGAATATTCATTACTGCAAATACATATCATTTCAAAATCTTCTCTCCTAGCTATTTTTGAAATAAACTCAAATGCTAAATCTTAAGTGGTTCAAAAATAACTAGTCTCAGATGAGGGAACATTTACTCTAGAAGGTATTATTTAGCGATTCTGGAAATTACCAGTAGAGGCAGGTGTAGGTCCTTTTTTAAGGAATCAAAAATATTCAGGATTATTACTATTAACAATGAGCACTTTATAAAACAACTGGAATTTTTGAACAGCAAAGTTTGAATTTGAACAAAATTCAAAGAAAACAAAATATCCAACCTCTAAATCAATCAGATACATTGTTCTCTGCTTTTTAAATTCTGCACACTTTTTCCCTATCTCATATTTCAGAGAAGATTACCTCTGGGAGAAAGACAAACAAAAATGAAGGATATAGAGAGGTAGGGACTAAAAAAAAAAAGTGAATATTAATAACCCTCAGGTAAGACAAGACACATATGCTTAGAAAGATAAATCTTATTGTTTCTAGGACACACTATTTGAAATTACATCTATTTGCTTACAGATTAAGAATTATAGAGATTAGATTTATTTTGTAATAACTTGAGGAAATATGAGTTGTGAGTCACACTAGTTCCACAAGTGAATATTGCTCATGATTCAATTTTTCTTTTCTTTTTCATTAGAAAAATATAATTATACATAGCATTGGGGTTTATTTTGGCAAAATCATACATGCAAGCAATTTGATTTCAACCCTTTCCCTAATTTTCTTACCCTCTTCTCTCCCCTGTTCTCCCTCTTATACTTCACTAATCTTCTTTTCAGTTATTTATTTATTCATTTATTTATTTTGGTACCGAGGATTGAACTCAGGGGCACTCAACCACTGAGACAGATCCCCAGCTCTTTTCTGTATTTTATTTAGAGACAGGGTCTCACTGAGTTTCTAAGTGTCTTGCTAAATTGCTGAGGCTGGCTTTGAACTCATAATCCTCCTATCTCAGCCTCTCAAACCACTGGGGGGATTACAGTTGTGCGCCACCAAATCCAGCTATTTACTTTTTTTCAATGATAATGTTCATAAACATAAGGTGAAATTCCCTTTGGTGCCTTTATATATGAATATAGCATGATTTTTTTTTAAATTAATTTTTTTCCCATTTTCTGTCCTCCTTCTTTCCCTCTCATTCTCCTTCTACTACTCCACTGCTCTTCCCTGTATCTTTATGACTTCAGATCCCCTCCCAACTGCCTTCTTTCCCTTCTTTCCCTTATTTTGCTCTACTTATGAGAGAAAATATTCAACCCTTGACTTTCTGAGTCCTGCTTATTTCACTTGGTATGATTTTCTCCATTTCTATCTATTTACTGGAAAATGCCATTTTTCATTCTTATTTATGACTAAAATTCCATTGTGCAATATAACACATTTTCTTAATTTTCTATTGAGAAGCATCTGGGTTAATTCCATAATTTGGCTATTGTGAATTGTGTTGGTATAAAGATTGAAGTGGCTTTGTTTCTTTAGTATACTGGTTTTTTTCTAATCTTTTGGATAAATATCAAGGAGTGGGATAGTTGGGTCAAATGGTGGTTTCATTCTTATTTTTTTGAAGATGATTTAAATTTTCTCTTTTACACATTTACCCTGTGATGTTGCTATGAAAGATTCAAACTTTTGAGCAAGGAAGTAATGTGATACTTTTTTTTTCCCATGGGAAAAAGAAGTTCTGATGGTTGACTTGTTGCCATACAAATTAGGTAGGAGGCATTAGGTCCTTCCCAAGAGTAATTGCATGTCTGTGGCTCCAGAAACTGGGGAAGGTGAGACTGGAGGATCACTTGAGCTCAGGAGGTCAAGGCCTGGGCAACATAATGAGACTCACCCTTATTTCAAAAAAAGAAAAAGAAAGAAAGAAAGAAAGAAAAAGAAAATCAAGAAAGAAATAGAGAGAGGAGAGATTATGCTTTGAGAACTCAGTCTATTTTTCCTGAAGTTTATCTATTTATTTTATTTTTTATTAGTTTGTTTTAGTTATATATAATATTAGGGTTCATTTTGAAATAATTACACAAGCATGGAATACAATTAGCTCTAATTCACTCTTAAGTACTTCCCCTTTCTCTTCCCTCCTCCCTCCCCGTCTTCCCTTTGTTTTACCAACTTATATTTTTTTATATATAGGTCTAGGTTTTTACAAATATGTTAGTGCCAAATGGATATAAATAAAAGTGAGATTCACTGTGATATATTCAAGTATGTACATAGGAAAGTTAGGTCAGATTCATTCCACCCTTCTTCCCTTTTTCCATTCCTTTGCCCTCTCCCTCAATCCCTTTCCTCTACTCCACTGATCTCTTCTACTTCCATGAATCTCACTGCCTTTTTTCTTTGTCTTTTTCCCCCTTATTTTGTACTATCTTTCCTCATATTAGAGAAAACATTTTTTTTTTGTACCAGAGATTGAACCCAGGGATCCTTAATTACTGAACCACATTGCCAGCCCCTTTTTGTATTTTATTTAGAGACAGG